CGGCTGATCCGGCTGCAGGGGCTGGGCAGCGCGCTGCTGTGTGCCGGCGTCATCCGGCGCCTCTGGTAGGCGGGGCGCGCCGGGGCGGGGCGGGGCGCCAGGCGGCGTGCTGGTGCTGGCGGCCTGCCCTGACCCGCGACCGCCCGCAGCCGAGTGGACGCCACCACTTTCCTGTACTTCAGCTTCTTCGCTCCGCTCATCTATGTGGCCTTCCTCCGCGGCTTCTTCGGGTGAGTGTGTCCCCGTGGCTCCGCCCGGCAGCTGACAGCCAGGGAGTGGGGGAACGCGCAGTGCACACATGCAGGCCCACGTGCTGCCATGCATGCGTGCACACGTGCGAGTGCTCCGGTGTCGCGGACACATCCCCCAGGGAGGCGAGGGCTGTGCACCTGTCCTCGGGCTGCCCTTCATGTCCTGAGTTGGAGCTCTCCTCCCCGCTAGGGCTCCCCTCTTACAGGTGCAGGGCCCCCCATTGTCCTGAGCGTCAAGGGCCAGTGGGGCTCAGCCCAGGACCCAGAGCAGGCGGAGCCCTCTGGCCAGGCACTGGGGGTGTAAGCAAATCTGGCCCAGCTGGCCACCTGGAAGGCCCCGGAAGATCCCCGGCCCACCCGAAGGCTAGCAGTGCACCCCCTGTCCTGGCTACTTAGGGGCTGAGGCAGGGGGATTACAGCAGAGACTTCCTGAAAACCAGCCCCACCTGGCTGGCCTCGAGGGCCAGAGAGGCCCCAGGCTGGCAGGCATATGCATTCCTGTCCCCACATGAGGGCCTGCTGTGGTAGGGTTGGCTATTCTGGGGTCCTCTCCTGCCAGCTCCGAGCTCCTCCTGGGCCCCAGCAAGGCCCTGGTCCCCTCCCTGCATGCTCCGAGCTCCTCCTGGGCCCTAGCAAGGCCCCGGTCCCCTTCCTGCCGGCTCCGAGCTCCTCCTGGGCCCCAGCAAGGCCCCTGTCCTCTTCCCGCCAGCTCGGAGCCCAAGCTCCTCTTCTCCTACAAGTGCCAAGTGGATGAGACCGAGGAGCCGGACCTGCACCTGCCGCAACCCTATGCCGTGGCCCGGCGGGAGGGCCCGGACACGGTGGGAGCCGCAGGGCCCAGTGCCGCCTGCTACTCGAGCACGCAGTTTGACTCGGCGGGTGGCATGGCTTCCCTGGACGATGTGGCCTCCATGCCCTGCCATGCTGGGAGCACCAACAGCACCGACAGTGAGCGCTGGAGGGCCATCAATGCCTGAGGGCCGTGCGGACCGGCCAGGAGGGCCCTGCTGCAGGGCCAGGCGGCTGGGCCTTCCAGGGCACCAAGTGGCCACCCGGCTGGAGGGCCCTGCTGCAGGACCAGGCAGCTGGGCCTTCCAGGGCACCAAGTGGCCACCCCAGCTGGAGGGACCTGTGCCACCTGCTCTCATCTGCTCTGTGACATGGCCTGGCTGCACCCCAGGGCCAGGCGAGCCAAGGGCACCTCCTTTCTCCAAAGTCTGGGCTCCCAGGGCTGGGCTGGCCCTCCTCATCCCCACCTGCCACGTGGCTCTCTGGCCTCAAAGCCACCAGTGGGTGGGCTCAAGTGCATATATTTTCTCAATCTATTTTTTAATAAAAAGGAAAGGAACAGGAGGTGTTTCTGCATGGCTGTGGGAGGTGGGCTGGGTCCTGTCTGGAGCCCGGGCAGCGAGGGGCTGGCCCGGGGCTCGCTCGCCCAGACACTCCCCGGACCCAGGCCCAGCCATGGTGGAGGCTGCTGGATCTCAGCCTTCCGCCTGCCTCCGTCTGAGCAGAGGAGGTGGGCCGGGAAGAGCTGTCTCTGAGCGCTGTGCTGGATGAGGGTTTGTCACCCCACTCCTGACACTGGTCTGGGGCCAGCCTTACCCCTCATCCCACTTTGGCCATCTGGAAATGGGGGTGAGAGGGCCTGTCTCCTGGGGCTGGCGGGGCTTGGAAGCGGTGTGAGCAGCTGATCGTGGTCCTGGCGTGGTGGTGGTGACCACAGGTCAGCTTCCCTTGCAGGACTGGGCACGGGCATTTGGGCATTGGTGGCGCCGGGGAAGGAGTCACGGCGAGGGTGGCCAGGGTGGCCACGCCTGCAGAGAAGGCAGTTCGGCACTGAGTGGCGGGGCTCTCAGAGCCAGAGTGGCCCAGGCTAGGTGCCCTTGGGTCTGGGCAGTGGTGGAGGCTGCAAGTCTGAGACGGAGGCTCCAGGGCCGGCCTCCCCGTGGCTTCTCCCTGGCGTACCAGCAAGGCTGTCTTCGTGCATGGAAACCAGTGAGTTGGGCACAGACCCACCCCAGTGCCTCAGTTTACCCTCATCGCCTCAAAAGGCCTTGCCTCCAATACAGCCCCGTCCTGAGGCGCTGGGGCTTAGGGCTCACTGTGCGGATTTGGGGCACACAGCTCGGCCGTGACACGTGGCATCAGAGCACCACTCGTCGGGAACCGGGGGCCGCTCCGACCCAGCTCCAAGCCTCACTCCCCACCCCACCCCAGGCCTCCCCCGTCCCTGTGGTCACCCCACACGTGGGTTTGTGCTGTGCTGAGTGCGTCCACGCGGCCCTGTCTGTGGGCACTTGGGTCCCCGTCCTGTCCTCCCTGGGACCTGCTGTTCTGTCTCAGCCGGGCAGTGTGGCTTGGCCTCGTGCCGGCGTGGACGTCCAGGAGGAAACAGCACGTGAGGGCCTCGGCTGTGACCGGCCCTGGCACGAGCTGGGCGAGTCCATTCCTCTGCCCCAGCCCTGGGTGGCCCAGGAGAACTCAGGGCCCGGCCAGGAGGCTCTGGTCTCCAGGCCGCGGAGGGTGCCGGCTGGCGGGCAGCCCTCCCACTGGCCTCCTGCACCCTGGGAAGGAGAGGCAGGCGGAGCTGCAGGGCTGGAACTGGGCTGTGGCGAGACCTCAGAGGGCGTCTGCCTCTGTCCTGTCTCGTGGACCCGTGGTCTCAGTCATCATAAGCAAAAGCATAAAGAAATGCAGCCCCGCCTCACCCTGCCCCCCAGAGCCACACCCCTGCCTGATTGCAGCACCCAGTCCCGGGCCCCCGCTGGGCTTCCAGCCCTCACCTGACCCCACGGGGGCCGTGGCTGGTGAGCACCTGAGAGGCATCCCCACAACCTGGGACCACCCCAGCCCCGCTCTGGAGCAACCCTCACTGGCTGTGGCCTGCAAGGCTCCTGGCCCTGTGGACTTCCCACCCGCCACGAGGGGGCGCTCTGCAGCCACGGCCGAGACTGCGCCTGCAAGGGTGCCCTGCCACCCGGGAGCGCCAGGCCCTGTGCTGTGCGGAGGTGTCGGGAGCCCGCTGGAGACCCGTGACTGGAGGCATGATGCATGTCCAGTGTTCTCTGGAGGAGGGACTACGGCATGGCCATCCCCCCAGGACGGTTTCTCACTTTCTCACTGTGTCTGGTGAGTGCACACACCTTAAGGCAAAATCTCTAAATAGGTATATGTGAATATTTTGTATTTTGTGGTGGTTATTTTCATTTGTCTTAATTGTCGGAGAGTACCTATACTTGCCAGAGACAGAGACAGAAGGAGGAGGAGAGCGCTCCCCCTAGTGGGTCCCGGCCATGCCGCACCCCTCCTCCACGTCCCCATCAGGATTGGGGCACCACACACACCTGCTGGTTTCCGAGCTGCATCGACCACGTGGGACCTGGTTTCCCACACGGGACTCAGCCAGGGCGCGGTGAGCAGCCGACACGCTGTGCGCTGTGTTCTCCACGCTCTCGGCTCCCGGAGGAGGCAGGCCTGTCCCCGTACTGTGGCCTCACCCCCCTGCCCCGTGCCCACCTTGCCAGGTCAGCTGTGCCATGCCGGAGGCTGGGAAGTCTCGTGTGGAGACAGCAGCAGGCCAGGGGCCTGGCGCGTACGTCCCTGCTGCCAGGCCGGCCCTGCCGTGCAGCCTCCCTGCAAGTACTCACACCCACGCTCCGCCATGCGCCGTCCTCCTCCAGCTCCTAGCCAGCTGGGCTCAGGCGCATCCCAGGCACGCTTGGGGGCTCAGGCCAACCTGGAGGCAGACATGGAGGCTTCCCAGGTGGCCGCAGCCTCATAGAGCCGTGCGCACGGCCCACGCCTACTGCCCGGGCCCTGTGGCCGTGCCCCACTGAGCTGTCTGGCTCAGGAGGCCCTGTGGCCGGGCCCGAGAAGAGGCACCTCCAGGCCCGGCCCTCGATCTGCCCCAGCTACTGGCAGAGGCCAGGCAGCGCTGGGGGTTTGGAGACCACGGGGAGTGGGTATGTGCCCCTTTATGCAAAGGCACAGGGTTGAGCACGGCAACAGCAGCAGCCCATAACCACACGCTAGCAGCACATTCCTGCACGCGCACACAGTAACCCTTGCACACTTAGCGTGTGCACCTGACACATGTAACAAGTGCTACTGGGGCCGGCCACAGCCTGCAGCTAAGGCAGCAGACCCCATGTGGCAGGCTGGGGGCGACCCTGAGACCTGGGGCCCAAAAAGCATACTGGGTGCAGGTGTGTGCGCCCAATCATGGTAGGCTGGAGAAATGGAGAAGGGCTTAGGCATGACCACGGCCCACGGGGCGCTTCCTCTCTCTGCCAGTGCACATGCCCTCTGGCAATTAAAACAGACACAGCCTCTGAATCCCCACAGACGTCACGGCTCAGGGTGTGGAGCTGGCCCGGTGGGGGGAGGCCTGGCAGCAGGACACGGCTCCACGCAGGCTGTCCGCATGGGAAGATGAGCTTGCTGCAGAGGGCAAGGCAGCTTGCAGAATGGTCTGAAAGCCAAGAACCGTCTGGACTAGGGGAATGGTGGGGTCAGCGTGGGGGCCGGAAGGGCTGCCCGGAGCGGCTCGTGGTCCCTCCTGAGCTGGCGGGATCGTGGGATCTTCTGTAGCCTGAGTCGGGCAATGTTCTCCGGGTGGGCAAAAGAGAACGTGAGCCCTACGCTCACAAGCCTCACACGTGTGGCGCGAGGCCGTCCGAAGGCCGAGACTGCACGGGGCCTGGGCCTTGACGCCAGCAGTGGGGTGGGGCAGGAAACCGCGCTCGGGGCAGTCGCTGTACAGCTACCCCCAAGGCAGGGTGCCCTAGCCACTGCGGGTTCCCACGCTTCCAGATCAGGCCGAGTGCCAGAGGCCGTGCTCCAGCCGGGGTGGGTGCACAGGAAGGCAACATGAGTGAACAGGAATCAGACAGACCTCATGCCCCTTAGCATGTTCTCAGCCGGCCACAGCCAGAGTAAGCTCAGGACTGCAGCCCTGATGGCCAGGAGTCATGCGTATTTATTACAGAAGGAGTTTTACAGGGGAAGGCTGGGCGAGGGGAAGGAAGTGAAAGATTTTACTCCAAAAGGTAAGGAATTCAAAGTACAGGAACAATAATCCTAAAACATGACGTCTGTTTTGTTTAGGTATAAACAGTCATAATTCTTAGAACGAGGAAGTCCATTTTTCGGGTGCATTCTCTTCTTAGATCTTGATTACGGGGGAGGGTCTTTGGATGAGAGGGCTCCCAGGAATCTTAATAACCTCAGTCCCAGATCGGCTTGAGAACTTCAGTCCCAGACCAGCTTGAGAACTTCAGCCTCAGGCTAGGGTGGCAGCAATTACAAGGGCCTAGAAATAAATCCTGTCTGGTTTAGTGAAGACAAGGTTAGTATATACTAAAGTGGAATACCTGTTATCTCTGGGGTAGTCCACAGCTGAGAAGGTGAGTCTAATGTCTACACGGGAAGGAATGTGGTCTTGTGAGCAGCTTAATGACTGACCTAGAGGTTACTGTGTACTTGGGACCCTCCACGTGCTGCTCTATACGATGGCTGTGGCTTGGGGAGCGGCAATCTTCCCTTGTCCTGAGAGTAAGGGTGGCTTATGGTTTTTGGGGTAACAGCACCTCATGGAGGAGTCCCTGAGCCCCTCCCGGCCACTGAGATAGTTTTGCCAATTTAGTGGCTTTAACCTAGACTTTTCTAATGCTGATCTATGTAATCCCCAGTAGGAGTGAGTGTAGCATTTTCCAGGAGGGTGGAGTGAGTCTAATGGGAGTAACTCCCGTTCACAGCCGCCCCCTTACGCAGCCACTGCCTTAGTGGATCCGCATTCTTTCAGGATTATTGTAAAAGTTATAGTAAGGCTGGAGGTGTCTTTATGGGGTACCGGGGTATGGCAGTAAGGCCCATGGCAGAGAAACTGAGTCCCATAGCAGAGTAACTGAGTGCAGGCCAGTACAGTAACACAACGGAGGTGAGGTCCAGAACTCGTAAAACTGTTGACCTTGCAAACAGTTCTCCTCAGCAGAGTCCTTGCTCTAGGCACGAGGGGCAGTTCTTTCATACTCAGCTTGTGTTAACTGCATGGTCCCAGCAGCCGAGGGTGGTGGGCACCCCGGAGGTGACCACCCGGGATGCGCACTGCCCGTGTCTCTGTCACGTCAGCTCCCCTCTCCTCCCGAAGACCAGGAAAGGACCTTGCTCCAGTGCCCCTTGGTTGGCCTGCAGAGCTGACCCCTGGAGGAGGCAACGAGGACCATGGAGCCCTCCTGAGAGTTCGCTGACTGAGGCCGTTGGCGCAGGACAGCAGGTGCAAGGCCCTGGGAGAGGCCTGGCGTGACTAGCTGGGCAAGACCAAAGGGAGAATGGCCTTGACCTTGACAGGA